GCTGCCCGCGGCACCCAGCTTGGTAGTTGCCGAGTGGGCCGTCACGGTGTTGGGCTGGTGGCTTTTCTTCTGGGTGGGGGAGCAGGAGTGCTTTTGGTGACTCTGGGAAACGGCCGACCCGGGGAGGCGGCGGGCTCCCTGCAGCTCCCTTGAGAGGAGCTTCCCGTGTCCGGGTGCAACGTGCGACCTCTCCGTTTTCGTCTTGTCATGCGAGCAAGTTACTGATTAATGCAGTTTAGCAAGAGTCTGCCGTGATAAGATATCGCTGATCTGTTGTGGTTTCCATGTTTTGGTCATCTGAGTTCACCTTGCGTTTTCAGAGTTTTACGTGCTGCTTCCAAATGGGTAATTTGTCGTGTCTCCTCCACGTTTTCAACCGACTTGTGCTTGAGATCCTGCTTGGATGGTTCGGGTCTCTGAGCCAGGAGCGCCTCTTAGAAAGCTCCCATTTCACCTCGGAAGGATTTGTGAATCTGTTGTTCCTTTTCCTGCAGGTGTAGCTCCTGGTCCGTATGCTTGTCCTTACCTCGCCTACCTTCCTCGCGCCGTTGCGTGGTTCGCTGTCTTGACGGTTCACCAAACTCAGTATCTCTCCCCACGATTTTATTTCTTGCCCTCTTCCTCCGATTTCCTTCTTTATTACCAAGTAGAATAAAACCTGAAAACATTTCAGAAGTTTGAGGCACTTCCTGACGCTCAGGTTAGGGTAGAAACATGTCATCTGTTTTGGTCTGGGGCCTCTCGTCCTGCAAGGTGATACGCATCTGGCACTTCTGTAATAATGATACCTGTGTTTTTATTTTAAAGAGGGCCCGTATGGGATTTTTGCTGGAAGAGATGCATCCCGAGGCCTTGCCACTTTCTGCCTGGATAAGGAGGCCCTGAGGGATGAATACGATGACCTCTCTGATCTCAACGCTACGCAGCAAGAGACCTTGAGGGACTGGGAATCACAATTCACTTGTAAGCAATTTTAAACCTATTTACAATGAAGTGGCTAGCTCGTGTGTAATAGGGGCAGCAAAAAGGCTGTCATCAATCTGGAAACATTTCTTTCGACTGACTTAGTAATTCAGTATTGCTTACTATCCTAAGTATGAGTAGGATTGTTGCAGTTTAAAAAGTTAAGAGAAATGGCATGTTTGCCCTCTGTGTTCTCCCTCCCTCCCCTCTTTACAGAACAGTAGGAGAGAGAAACACTCTGTTACGGGAGATATATAAGACCTCCAAAAAGTTGGCAGGAATTGGAAGCTGAGAGCATGCCTCTGATACAGTTAAGACTCCATCTATAAAGACGATTCAAATGTACTGTTCTGAAAAACGATTATGTCCTGTTCAGCTTCTCAGAAATAAGAGTAACATTTTATTTCCTACTTCTTGTTTTTGTTTGAGTCTTGAAGACAGTTTAAACTAGTCCTTTTCCCTTTTGAGGTCTTGTTCTACAATGTTTTTATTCCAAATAAATTATTCTGCATGGCCTGGCAGGTGGCTGGGCCGGCTTCATGAACCACTCTATCCTGTTGGCTTTATCCCCCTAGAAGGTGTTCGAGAATGGACAAATGACACCTCTGTGCTTGCAAGCAGCCTGACCACTACCATACCAGTGACAGCTGGGCTGGGAGAGGGAGAAAGGCTACTTGCATGCTTGACGTGATTGATCTAAAATTAACAGAAAGAAGACGCTTTCACAGTTGCCTTGTTTTTCTGTGCTTAGTATTAAAAGCTTTAAAAAAGGCAATTCCCACTGTTTTGTGAGGTGTGTCTCAACGTGTATGTGTACATACATATTTTGTACTTGCTGCTCGAAAAAGAGAACTTTTAAACCACAGTTCTGTGGAAATTGTTGTGTTGAGCTTGTACCCCAGGGTATGCCCATGGGTATGATTTTTTTTTTTTTTCTATCATTGTACCTTATTGATGAAAAATAACTCCTCCACATCTCACGTGGCCTTCTAGGCCATTGAAGGCCTAAATCCATTGAAGGGACTTCCTCTCCTCAGATGAGAGAGAAAATAAAAATATCAATTATTTGTCTTGGTAAAATATTTGTTACATATGCGATAGTGGAAATCAGGTGCTTTTTGTTTTTTAAATCTAGTGTCCGGTATTAAAGATTAAGTATCACTGGTTGGAGTGGAGCTTTCCCCCACGTAATGGCATTAGAGCGTCTCAGTCCTGACCTGACCTGCCCCTACTATTTTGGCTCTCCTCCTGCCTTGAACAAGGCTGTTAATCATGCCACGTTGAATGGTGGTTTTACGATGCTAACAAGTATGTCCCAGAGACCAGACCTATGCTACCAAGTATCTGACCTAAACTAGCATTCAAATATACCTTTCCAAGAGTCAGGTGCCAGGGCTTCTAGTGAATGCACTCCACTCACTGTGTTTCTAGCATATTTGACGATTAGTTGCTTTAAATTCTTGCTAATTATAGTAACAATGCCGGTAGGAAGTTCCTGTAGTAAGATGCATATTTTTATTTTGCTGAAGTTGACAGATGGGCAACTTAGCATAGCTCTCAGTTCTTACATGTATATATATAATCTTGATATTTTTACATGTTCAAAAAGAGATGCATAAAAAAAGGCAGAAGGCTTACCAGTTGCATAATTGGATAACAGGTCCATCTTTATCTTTGTGAGAGAGAGGATCTTTTTTTCTTTCTCATTGAATATTTACAACATACATTGTGAAAAATATAAATTCTGGAAAGTACTGTGTGAACGTGTGCACAGGTGCGTATGTGTGTGCATGTGTAATATATAACATAAGTATTCTAGAAATGACATATTCAGAAGACTAGCCTTGGCATTGACAAGAGAAATAATCTAATCCATGATTTTATTTCTTTAGCGGGATGTGTCACTCATTTTAGACGTGTCTTTATATTCATTCATCTTCTGGCTTAGGCAATAGACTGAGAATTATATCGCCTTCACTTTGCATGTTTCTTACACCTGTTACAAAGTTAATAGTAGTTCAGGTAGTTGGTTTGCTTTTTTTTTTTCCTTCTCTCTCCCATTTGCAACAAGAAGCTCAGAGGTGTTTTATTACAATGCAAGCATTTTGTTGATCCAGGAAACAGACATGGAAGACACAAAAACTATGTGTTCACAGGAGAATAATGACTTGGGATTCTCTTTTTTTTGTTTGTTTCAATTTTCAGTTAAATATCACCATGTTGGTAAGCTGCTGAAGGAAGGGGAGGAACCTACTATATACTCTGATGAAGAAGAAAAAAATGCTCAAGGTGGAAAGAAAGACTAGAGAATGTAGTGAGGAACAATCCATTTTTGTATCTTAGAGGATCATTTGTAACATTCCACTTCTGTTTTACAAGTTGCAATCGCAAGAATGCTTACAAAAGGTCCAGGGTTACAGCAAATTGCATTTCTTCTCAAAGGTCTCCTTTTCAAATTCAGTGGTAAACTAGTCAAGATAAATGTCTGTCTTCCTTTAAACCTGCATAATCTGAAGTATGCACAAAAATTGCTTGTGCAAAAGTAAACTGCAATTTTTGCAATAAAGGACTATTACTGTTTTTCTTCTGCCACTATTTAGTGCAGAGTAGGTTGAAATCCAAATCTTTGCATTAACAACCTAGCACTGTTGCCACAAGCACAAGAGCAACTTCACATACGTAACCCAAATTCCACTAAATTTGGTTTAGTGTTAGCTTTTGCAGGATCTGGGCATTGGGTTCTCATTCTAATTTCCTTAGAAAAGGGACTATGTTTTATTTGTCCATGAAGCATCATACTCATTTGTGGTGCAGTATAATTCAATGTAACGTCAGATAATTTGGCTTTTTAAGGAATTAAGAAGAGGCTTGCAGACAAAACACTAACTGCTTTTTAAAAAGCTAGTAATTTTTGAGAGGTTAAATCACTTAGAGACTTACAAAATTTGTAAGGACTGATGAATACTTGATATATTGAGTCATGCAGCTGGATTAACGTTCTTTGTTTACTTTTAAAGCACATCTAAAGTGTTACAAAGGTTTAGCTATTGAATGCCCAGTTGGGCATCCCCCCAAAAAAGGGACACCATGAAGTATGACTCAGCAGGACTGCTATTCATTCACTTTTCCTCTTGGCAAAACTCTTCTGCGAATTTCAACAAAATGAAATTAAAGAGTGAAAATCAGCTGCTATTGATTCTTAGGCCTAAGGTATGTTCTATAAAAAGACTTGCTGGTATGGCATGATTAACAAGTGCTCTTGTACATGCAGCTTTAACTAGAAGAATGACGTTTATGGGCAATGTAACTTACATAAGTTTTATGTATAAAATAAAATAACATGGCACAAGCCGTTTCTGTGTCAAGGCTTTTGTTACTTTGGAATGTTGCTGTTAGAAAGAAACAGCAAACTCTCGTGCATAACTAGCAGCATTATGCCTGGGAGATGGGTACCTCATCTTTGAATTACTTCTTACTTATTTTCTCTCTTAGCTCACATCCATGCTTAATAACTAGGTTTGTTCCGACTGTGTAACCAAGTCTCATACCAAAGGGGGCTGGTAGCTGGTTTTGACCAAGGGAAAACATAAATGTGGTCCTTCATCACCCAAAATACTTCTACAAAACTTTAGCAGGAATTTCAAGGAGAGAACTAATGATTTGCTGATCTCTCATAAGTCTGTTTCTTGTCCAGGTGATTCGCTGTGGGTACCTGTTTGGTATAGTTCCCCTTATCTGGTTTCTCTGGTTCAGCTCTGCTGCTGAGTCACTTCAATTTGGCAGCAAGACCAAAATGATGAACTGAGTCCTTTAGTGGGGAAGAGTGTGTGAACTAAACAAAATTGTTAAAAAAAAGTAGACTGTATTCCATAACAGCAGCTTTCATAAACAATTTAACACAACACGTTAAAGTGCCTGAGACCATCTGTGGTAAGAACTGATGACTTTCCCTCAGTCCTAACAGTTTGATGGCATTTTGTCTTTTGGTCATACTGGGCCTTCAAATGAAGAGCGCGGTTGTCTGGGCCAGATAGCTTGCATGAAGTGTTAAGTGTTTGAACTACCTAATGAAGGTCTAGAGACAAATGTAAATCTAGTCATGACCTTTGTGTTGCCATTTTATTTTTAGAGACGTTTATACTCTTTGGAAACTACTTCTAATGGTTTTACCTCAAATCAGAAATGTGCTTTTATTTGTTTAAAGCAGAAAATAAAATTAATGTTGCATACTGGTAGTGTTTGTTTTTATTTGTTTATCAACTAAATGTGATGCTTAATCCTCTCCCAGTGTTTCAAGTTTTAGATAAATAGTGTTTCTCCCAGCTATGCTACTCACATTATCCGAAGTGTAGACTGAGTATATGTTCAAGCTGAATGTCTGCAAATGTGGTTCTGTAGTAAAATAACTTTAAACTGAACACTATTTTAAAGATAGAACTTGCTTAGTTTCTATAAAATACATTTTGCTGTTGCAAGGATAGAGTTAGGCATAAGTAACTGTTAACACTGCAGAGCAAAAATTGGAGCTTTGGAAGGCTGTGATGTAGCAGAACAAGGCTAGGCTGTTGCCTACCTTTCACGGGACCCAACAGTCTGGTTCTTAAATGAGTCCGTAAAATAGCACTCAGTTCCTCAGGATATGTTAAGTATTAATGTGTATGTTACCAAATGAAGATTGTTACCCATCACAAAGACTAAAACAAGTTAAATGGTAGACTACACAGAAAAGTGTGTAAAGTAACACAAGACAAAGCTCAGTGTTAAGCCTGCCTTCCTCCAGGGGAAGAATGCTGCTTTGGATAAGACCACTACTTTTCTGAGAAAACAGAATTTCTTGTGAAAGGGGAAGGCGTGAGTCATTTCATGAAGTGGCTGGCACACTTTTGTTTTCTAAAACGTTGGAGAAAAAGGACATATCCTAGCCTGATTTTTGCTCTTTGATCGTTGCAACGTGATTCCCCCTTAACAGTGACCAGTTGCAATGACTAAGCCCAAAGAACCATGCCAGGTAGTTTAATAGATTGTACATTAACTAGGTAGAACATGATAAAAAATTAAGGGTAGAGACTGTCAGCAATTTCCCTCATCTGAAGGGCCAAACACCAGTGACTGTGCATGTTACGTAGGCATACTTGAGGAGCTCTAGGACAAATGAAAACAATCTCATTTCCAACCAGTTGTGAGTTACTGTGAACTGCTTTGTAAAACTCAGAAATTTCCTTTATCGGGACCCTACCTGCTGTTAATTATCTTTACCAGCTGTTACTTTGATCTGTTTCAGTTAAATACAAAATAATGTACTACTAAATGATTATGATAAAGAGTTATGTAAGTGGTTTTACAAAAGGTGAGGGAAAAGGTGAAGTATTCCTATGCACTGTCTGGAATCGCTGGATTAAGAAGAAAGAGCTTTATGTTATAATTGCAGTATTCTTGTATTTCAAGCAGGCGAACCAATATAATAATGGGCATTGTGTATTTCTGCTTGAAAAGCAACTTACGGGATTTTAACTCAGGATTCTGACTTTAGCATTCTGAGCAAGGTACAACACACCACCAAAGTATTTGAGCTAACAAAGCTTAGTTCAGGCAGCTCTCTTGAGAGGACTTATGTTCTTACTACCTGTTAAGCATTTTTATTAGTTCTGTATATAAAGATAGAAAAACAACAAACTCTTGAAACATCACCTGAGTACAACAGCATAAGCAAGGTGAAAATAAGGAAAGGTGAAATTATGCAAGGAGCATTATGCATTTCTGCTGCTGAGCTATTTGCTGCTTTGATGCATCTTTTCACATAATTTTATTCTTTGCATTTCATGATTGAGATGTGGTGTTAATTCCTGAGCACTACGGAAGTTTAATCGATGAAGCTATGTATTTAAAGAGTTTTACAGAAAACTGTTAGATGCATCTTCAAAAATATGCATTCAATATAAATAACAAAATTATACCAAACTGCAGCAAACGGAAGGACGGGGCTCAAATTAAGTGTGCAGGTAAGGAAAGTGAGAAATTAATATTAAAATACCTGAGAGTAGGTTCTAAATAACGTCACCCATAAGCAGAAAGGAAACATGGCAGTTATATTTCAGTGTGAAGACTACACTGGTATCTCACATTTTAAAGCGTGCATATTTTACTCACCAACACGATGTTTTACGCTGGATGAGGACTTGGAGAGAGAGGATTTGCTTTATTAATTTCAATCAATATAGGTGAACGCAAGAAGCAATTACAGAATCGGTGTATTTATTTGTTATGGAATATTTTGACAACATGTTGATAAAAACACTGGAAATTTACACTGGAGGAAATCCTTAGTTCCTGTTCCCCTAGATGAAAAAGAACCACTTCCTCACCTGCAAGTGAAAGACTCTCTCATGGGAAATGCGTATTTATGTACACAGAACTGTCTAGAGATCAGAGGGGGAAGTTTTGTCATCTTATTTTTTTTGGATCTGTAAATATTGCATAGAGAAAAACGCCCTTGGTATGTCATATCAGTGCAACTGACACATTTTACACGGTCAACAAATACAATAGTTGATCTTCATTACAACTGTATAAAATACTAAAAAGCAGACTAAAGATGGGCATAGATGTTCTCCAAAATAGTCAGAAAATATTCTTGTCAAGAAAATAAGATCTTTTTAGATAAAAGTAATAGATTAACAGTACTTTGTCTAAGTAGCAACTATTTGTCGTTCATGATCCTAAAAAGGCACTCAACATCCGAACACGTGAAGAGAGAAGACAGATAAAGCCTGGTTTAGAAGCCTGTAGGAATCACCAATATCGAACACAGCGGGGGGGGGGGGGGACACAAATC